AGTCAGTCAGTAAGTCTTGGTGTCGAGTCTCATATATTTATTACCGTTTGATAGTTACGGCCTTGTTCTTCTGGGGCGCCCTCTCTGACGAGAGGACGAGTCTGTCTTCTGTACATGCTTCTGGCCCTTGCCAACGCAGTCTTTCTCGGGTCCGAGTCCCTTGGGACTCGCGACCATATTTTAATGTCTCAGATTTGAGACTTCCCTTTTCGTCGCCTCCTAAGACTCGCAGAGTCACGGTAGAGGTATTCGACCCCGCCTCCACACGGGGGATTGTTGACTTCCCGTTATATAGCCTCGTGTCGGACCACGCAGAAAACATATCCATTGCCCATCAACGGATATCATTTATTGACGCGTATTGTGGTAGACATTACCTAGCAACGAGCTGTTTGCCCAGAATTTGTCTACACGGGAATGTGTTTATCGATCCGTTGCCTAGCAGTGGGCCTATACCTCAAAGTACTATACAATGTGGTTAGCTTCAGAACAGTGGGCTTGTATTTGCAATACGTGAATATAAACGTTAATGAGATACATAAAGAATTCACTTTTAAAAAATATTTACTCCTCACATGACCGCCTCTGTGGTCTAGTGGTCAGAGTTCCTGGCTACAGATACAGGGGTCCCGGGTTCGATTCCCAGCGCTAACAGGTTTTCTGAAAAGTAGTGGGTCTGGAACGGGATCCACTCAGCCTCGTGAGGATAACTTAGGAGCTACTTCAAGGTAATAGCGGCTCCGGTCTAGAAAACTAAGAATAACGGCAGTGGGAATCCGTTGCTCTGATCACGCGACAACCTCTATCCTCTAAAGTTGGCACTAACTTCGCCGACAAAAGCACAAGAGACCACTGTAGGTCGAGGTGCAAGGGCCGAGAAGGCTTACCCCTATACATTCATTCAACTTCGCCGACAAGCGGCAGTAGCTCGGTATAGTTCGCTTGCGGACTATAGGCCACGGAATTCCGTTTTCTTTTTACTCCTAATATTTGTTTATTTTATTCGAGTAGCGTATTTTCCACTCTGATTCTCTTTACGTCACAAGTACACCCACAACAAAAGGAATTACAACAAATGAACACGTGGAGCCCCCACTCCGTTAGAAGCGCGTTGACCTCAGCGTTAGCTTCAGCTGTCTGTTACAGCGAAGGCGACATTTGTAGCTCCGTTTGTTTATGTAATAAATTACGAGATAACTTTGAATATGTCGGTCTGTTTCCATTTCGTTTTATGTGTCAGATATCTTTGAAGCTTATTTCATGTTTTGAATGTGATGCTCTTTATTTCATGGAAGCGAAAAGGGGGTTGGGACATTCCCCGTCTTTTATACCGTGAATAAAGCGGCTGTGCTCGAAACACTCACCCTCCACCCTCCACTGCCCTCCTCTTTCAGCCCCTGACTGTGTATGTACGCCCGCATAATTCCTATATTGCTGCATGACTGAAGTTCGATTAAGCCCAGTTCTGCCGTAAAACTCGCGGCCGTTCAGTTTCAAGCCATCTTTATCGTTTTAAAGAATATTACAAAATTTCAGAAAGGATTTTCATAATATTACGGTCCACTTAATTTCATTTGCTCCTTGAAATCACACAACTCCTCTTACTGTACACACAGAAAATATTCTGCTAGAAGTTTAATTACATTTCGTAAGTTCAGTGTTGCTAATTAAGTCTGTATAGTTTAAATGAGAGGCTTACGAAGTTTATATTCTTGGTTTGAAATGTGGAAGTTCATTTACATGGTTCATGCCCTAACTGTGTACTTGTGAACCACTTCCTCATGTCTCCATAGACCCGTCCAGAAAAAGTTGCTGCTGTTTTTAACTAAGCATCACGCCACGAAGACGTATTGGGAAGTGGAGGTATAGCTGGATACCGGCTTAAACTCGGCATTTGACTACAATTCCATGGTACCTATTCATTAGAAAGCTGGGTTTGTCCCAGAGCCGGTGCTGACGTTCGGGAAAGGTGAAAGATCTCAGATCCTGTTAAAAACCAAAACTCCATGCTGCGGTGATCAATGCCAGTACAATTTTATTTGTTCATTTTAGTCTTAAAGCTTCATTATGTTCTTCAGGTACATAATTCTATGAATTAAAGTTCATAAAAAATAACTCACTAATTAACTTAACGGAGCAGAGTCCATCTTGATAAGCTTACAGTTGCTCGCCTGATCAACAAATACTCTACATTGTACGGAACGCGAAGGGTAACTATTGTGCTCACAATATCCCTCCACTGGTCCATATCCTGGGGAAGAAACACCCTCCCCCACAGAAAATACCGTCTTATATTAAGAATGCAGGTTTATTGGTCCGTTACCTAGCAATGTCCTATTGAAGCGTGCGCGTGTGTTGCGGGAGTGTGTTTACCTACCCGATGCCCAGCAATGGGTATACATGTCACAATATTAAATAAACCCAGAGCGGATTTGGGTAGCGGTAAAGTTCTAAATTCGAATTTGGAAGGCTATAGGTTCGAATCTCGGTCAGGACATCTGCTACAACAAGGTTTCCCTCCGTCAACCTAAGGAAATTCCGAGACGGTATCCCAAAATCAAACCACGGACACCTCCTTCCAGATCCTTTCCAATTCATCCATTCATAGCCCCTCCACTTGAAGCTGCATACTTCGAGGACTGAACGACAGAGCAGAGAGACAATTAAAATGTATCTATATGCATAGGGATCGGCTCAGTCAATATTCTGACTCAGCTGCGGGGCAGATGACAAAGGATAGCTGGAAGATAGGAGAATGAGAGTTCGATTCCCGGTGGGGACAGAGATCTACCTCTTCTCCACAGTCTCCAGTCCGCTTCTAGGGCCCTACACAGCTTCCTATCCAATGAGTGTCGAGAGAAGGAAATTGCTGAAATTAAGAATATGTGGCGCTGTATCTCCACTCCGTCATAAATTTACATGACGAGGTGCTCAGACGGAGCACAAGGATAAATTTGGGTTTACTTTTACGAAAAACAATCGAATATAAAAGAAAATCTACAAATGAAAAAGAAATGTATGACGAAACAGAAACTATGCGAAGAACAAAACACTGCAAGAAAATCAGAGAACAAGAATAAACAAAACAATAGAATCGTGGTTGAAGGAACTGTCACTCAGTCATAGGGCTGAGCCCTTCTTGAGAAGCTGCCAACTGTGTAACTATTCCAGAACTTCCCAGCATTCTATGGAACCCGAAGTTTCATTATCGTGTTCACAAGAGCCCTGCACTGGTCCCTATCCTGAGCCAGATCAATCCAATCCATACAATCCCATCCTATTTCTCTAAGATCCATTCTAATACTGTCCACTCACCTACGTCTTGGTCTTAGCAGTGGTCTCCTTCCTTCCGGCTTTCCCACCAATATCCTATATACATTCCTCTCCTCCCCCATTCGTGCTACATGACCTGCCAACCTCACCCTCCTTGACTTGATCATTTTAATTATACTCTGAGAAGAGTACAAGTTATGAAGCTCCTCATTATGCAGGGTTTTCCAACTTCTTGTCACTTCATCTCTCTTCGGTCCAAATATTCTCCTCAACACCCTCAGTCTATGTTCCTCCCTTAATGTCAGAGACCAAGTTTCACACCCATACAGAACTACAGGCAAAATTATAATTTTGTATATTCTAATTTTTAAGTTTTGGGACAGCAGACGAGAAGACAAAAGCTTCTGGACTGAATGGTAGCAAGCATTTCCCGAGATGAAGGAACTGCACTGTAGGGAAAAGAACAATGCAGTCGAAGAGCAAATAAAATAAAATGAGACCGTAGAAAGTGGTTGTGGGTCAAATGAAAACACCCGCAGAACCAATGAGTCCAATAAACGGAAGAAATCAATGAAATCGAAAACGAGACAAGGTAAAAAATAAACGAAGTGGCTCTGCAAACATAGAGACACAGCTAATGGAAGTCTGCTCATGTAGGCTCCATCTCTGTCTATCCGTCTGCCTGTCTGCGGGCTTGCTTCTACGAGTGATACTGTGCTGCATGGTTTGTCAATCAACAGAAATATATAAATTGCTCAGTCAGCCTGAACAGAAGCATAAACTTTATATGATGAAAATACATGCATTTGATTTACACTAACGTGCCCATCCATAAGGCTAACTTACATATACACCAGATGGTCATCTCAAGATACAAGTTAAAGCACGTGTCCAGACATCTGGGGGCCTGAATGTCATACATTCTGATCACATTCCAACATTAGGCCAATCCCTCCTTTCAATATCTGCTACGTCACGGACTTTATGTGTTTCGCTCCACACTTGGTTACCTACGTATAATTATTTAAGGTCCTTGCTCAGTTCCTGGTAGATACACCTTCCTAAAAAATTTCCTCTCCCACGTATTTAATATAATTTCATTATTTTTCAACAAAGAAAACAAATGTAAGATTTGAGGCTTTCACGGCGGTGACTATGAAGAAAGCAGTCTTCTGGGATTTGGCACCGTGTATATGTGGTGTTAACACCACATCTTTTCTTCAAAGAAAACAAACTCCGTGGTCTGTAGTCCGCAAGCGAACTATACCGACCGAGCGACCTCCGCTTGTCGGTGAAGTTGGTGTCAACTTTGGCGGATAGAGGATGTCACGTGTTCAGCACAACTGATCCCAACGGCCGTTACTTTCAGTTTTCTAGACCGGAGCCGCTATTTCCTTGAAGCAGCTCCTCAATTATCCTCACAAGGCTAAGTGGACCCCGTTCCAGACCCACTACTTCTCATAAAATCTGGTACAGCCGGGATTCTAACCCGGGACGGACCACAGAGACGGTCTTCATCGCTTTTCAGTAATGGATAATATACAATGACCTTCACACACTGTTAACACAAACGAGGGTATATGAACCGAGTCATGACATCTGAGGTGGCGGATGTAACTGTCAAAACTGAAGTTAAGATTACATTTTTAAGCATTGGTCCAAAACGTTTACGAGCATACAGTTGTTTTATGTTTATGCCTCGCATATCAAAACGAAATGACACTCACCAGTCGTGTAAGGCTGGGAGTAATCCTTGTCCGGGCTGGTATATAATTTGGCACTCGCTTCGTCTCCAGGTTCCAGGTACGCCTTCGAGTCTCGTGGGTCACAGTAGGCTTCTATTATCTCTACCTACGAAATAAACAAAAACATTAAAACCCGGCATGCAGTCAGATTGGTCAGAATGGTAAGACAAAAGTATCCTAAGAACACTAGATGCCTTGTACAGACCATGAAGTCAATCATTATGTAATATACTGTAACATGCAGATTCATTGCTAGGCAACGGGTCGCTAAACACAATCCCGCAATACACGTGCACACAACAATAACACTTCTATTGTTAGGCAACGGCGCGGTAAACATGCTATCGCAACAATAGAAGCAGCAGTGTTTTCTATGTGGTCCGCCCCATGAATTGTGACACGTGACATGTGTTTTCTATAGGCAGTGCCGCGTCTATATAAGGGAGCCAGTTTGAAGGAACAGAAGCGTTAAGAGAATAGGAATACAACAGTAGTCGAGAGTAGTCGTCGAGTCTCGGAATTGGCGGCTGCAGAAATGGCAAGAAAGGAATTAGGCGGTGCCAAGAAGACTCCACGTGTGATTGGAAGTTACAGTGAGACTGTGTTAAAATCCATTGCCAGGAAACGGATATTGAAAATTTTGCAGAGTAATACCCATTGTTGAGACATGTAACCAAACAACGACTAGTGAAAGCAGACTCAGTAGACGTGTTGTGAGTTATTGTAAATGGTTGGTGATTAAGAGTGATTGTAAAAGATGGGGTTAATAAATCCAATAATACTACCCAGAACCCGTTTTTATTGGTCACGATGCTAAATACGTGACCACAGATGCAAAGGGGAGGGGCACGCGGTAGCGTACTTGGTTGAGGCACTATACTACAAGCCGGAAGGTCGCGGGGTTGAGCCCCAGTGAGGTGAATTTTTTTCAATTGACCTAATTCTTCACGCCGCACTATGGCCCTGCGGTCGACTGAGCCTCTAATAGAAATGAGTACCAGGAATCTTTCTGGGGCGGAAAGGGAGGACATCGCATAAGGCTGATATCCTTACCGCCATCTGTGAGCCGACAGTCTAGAAAATGTGAGAGCTTCAACGTCTCATAATCCTATGGACCTTCACGGCCTGTTACAGGGATAGCTTAACCTTTTTTCACCGGTGGAAAGAGAAGCGAAGATAAATATTTAGCTTTATGGTATTCGAACTCAAGATCCCATTGTGTTTGCGCCCTCACCAGAATTGCGTTTATTTTAACAAGTAGCTATAGAGAGAAAATTTAAAAGCATGTTCGCTATTTTAACTTCGCCTAAAGTAAGTGAGCACCATGTAAGATCTCATGCCGTCAACCACGATCGTTTACATTATCAGATAGGTGCTGACATCTTTTACGGGTCCAGCACAATACTAAATGTGTTTGGAACGCTTGGGGATTTCTCTCACTTTCGAGGTTCTAAAACTCCGATACCACATGTACATAGAGAAGTTCTGCCGGCTCTGACTGTACGGGAAGGATCTAATTTCATGTGTAAATGGAAAAGAAAATGATTTCCCGAATTTCTAAATGCCTTCAAAAGAAATCTCCCTGGAAGTTTTATATATTTTAAACGAAATTGGACGTGTTACACGCGGCTCTCCAGAGATGGCTCTCACAACCAGGCGTCCGAAACATACGAGCATCTGTAATTTTGATAATGGCTACCAAAAAAAACTGACAATCCCCTCAGCCCACTGCTGACAGCTTTTCAAATCTTACAGAATTCTAACTTCCATAAACTTATATAATTCAAAGTTCCGAACAGGGTTTCTTTCAAAAGTAAAGCTTCTTACTGGTAAGTAGTTCTATCTTATGGGATACAACGCCACGTCGTCTGTTGAAAGTTAACCGAAGTTTCGGAGGAACATCTTCAAGATTGAAGAATAAGCCAAATAAGAAACCAGCGTGAATCAGGAAGCATCAGAACTTGTCTTCTTACTTGCTTGATTTTTTATTCTACCCTGACGATGAAGGCAAAATATTCCTTCGAAACGTCGATTGACCTTCAACGGAATACACGCCGTTATATCCCTGAAGATAGAATTCTTCATAATCACCGCTGTGAGAACCTCAAATCCTACTTTTTCACTTGCATTCAAAAATAAAATTATCTATGTCATTAATTAAGAACTATTCCACGAAGATGTGTGTGTGGGAGTGGAGGTGTAACTCCAGACATGCGTAACTTCGGCACTGGATTTGAGGTGAGTAGTCAAATGTAAGCCTCAATCGCTTTATCCCTGAGGAAAGAAACCCAGTACCCAGTGGACAGGAAGTTGTGTGGGCCCCAGAACCAATCTGGAAGCTGCGGAAATTTTTAAAAACATTTTGCCGCTACGGATGATCAAACCTTGATTCCTGGAATCCCACACCTCGCAGTGATGATTAAGCTTTGGAAGACAGGACTTCACATCGTTTAGTGATGCTACAACAGTTGAGGTGATAAAATTGCGGCAGACTTTAATTATCATAAAATCTTCAAAATAATTTTTGTAAAAGCGTCACATTATTCAACATATAATTAATAAATATTCAACCTGAAACGATCAAACCGGCAGCGAATGAAGCACTGACACCAACAATAGAAAATTACGCGCTACAGGGAATTTTATCCAGGCTGGTCACATTAGCACCAGCGCACACAACTGCCTTGCTTTCAGAACCTGTACAGAGCACAAATTCAACAGGCAATGGTAAACTTTCACATTCATATGGTGCTATCTTTTCAGGATGTGCAGAGGGTTTAATTAGAATACAAAGGTCTTCCTTTGATAGAACAAACGGGAGGATAACCTCCGGCCGTTGAACGATCCAAGCGCTCTTCCGCAACGCCAAACCTTCAGGATATTGCTAGAGATTCCGCCTATAGAACAGCCATAATAGGCCTCAGCGGATTTTGTGCAGTCCTGCTAGAGTTACTATTGGAAGACGATACACCGGTTAACAGCTACCCATCAGTTATTAAAGAACAGCATAAAATGGTACGATTGTCACTGTGCTTTAATTAGCTAAGCACCACGCCATGAAGACGTATGGGGGAGTGGAGGTAATGCTCATCTATTCCTGACCTTGGCACTAGATGGAGATGACTGGACAGTCCAGTAAACTGCTTCTGGACCTCGCCAGAGCCCACAGTACCCATTGGATAGGAGGCTGGGCGGGCACCGGAGTCAGTCTGGAAGCCGTGGAATAGAGAAAATCCCTTGCCTCTGTCGGAAATCGAACACCGGCCGTCCAGCCAGTAGTCCGCCGCTATACGAACTCAGCTATTCCGGCTCCTAAAGACCGGCATAAGGCCCACTGAAATTTCAACGATTAATTCTTGAAAAAATCCTTCGTCAAAAAACGAAACACGTATTGAATAGGCTGGTGTAGCGATAACACTCTAGTCTTGTATTCGGGAGGTGCTGGGTTCACACCCCTGCCGGGACACCGGTTATCCTGCCTTAGAGTTATGTGAGTTCCCTTCGTCCCTTCAGGATACTACACGACAGCACCTCGATTTCGTTACTTCACAATCCTTCACAATTTATTGCTCAACAACCATCCTACAGTTCGACGCTAAAGAGTCCATATACCGACAGCGTCGCAAACTGATCACAAGAAGAAAAAAAAAATAAAAACTCGGTGGCAAGCGAACTATACCGACTGAGCGACCGCCGCTTGTCGGCGAAGTTAGTACCAACTTTAGGCAGCGCCATAGCTCAAGCGGTTAATCGCTGGCTTCCCACCACGGCGGCCAGGGTTCGAGACCGGGTTTGGTCAAGTGGGATTGGTGTTGGACAAAGTGGCCCTGGGGCAGGTTTTCTCCGAGTACTTTGGTTTCCCCTAACAATCTTCATTCCACCAAATTCTCCATCATCATAATCACCCGGGGCACCTACAATAGGCCAATCAGTGGGCAAACGTGCCAAGTGGGCCCAACTGGGCTCCACCTCCCACTATAGCAATTAATAAATTAATTTGTGCCAAATTTAGCGGATAGAGGGTGTTGCGTGGTCAGCGCAACGGATCACCACGGCAGTTAATTTCGGTTTTCTAGACCGGAGCCGCTATTTCCTTGAAATAGTTCCTCAATTATCATCACGAGGCTGAGTGAACACCGTTCCAGACCCACTACTTCTCAGAAAATCTGGTAGCGTCGGGAATCTAACCCGGGACATCTGGATCTGTAGCCAGGAACTCTGACCACTACATTACAAGAAGACAAACATACAAATACAACGCATGGTCAAACTGCAGAGGTTTTAAATTTTAAAGCAGGTGGTACAAACAGCAACCATTGTGCTTTAAAGGGTTAAGGAAACGCGTTTGTATTCATCAGAGGACTCAGATCTTGCAGTAATACAGCGAGATACAGTGCCCATTTGTTCCATGCTGCCGTACGCAGGTGAAGGGTGGGGTGGAGGTTCTTACTGGAGGGGATGCCTTCTAATTTCCGTACCGGATTTCCCACGTGGCTTGTTACTTGGTTACGAGACTTGCAGGGAAGTCCTTACAGTATTGCCAAACCTGGACAACTTTCGAAACTCTCAGCAAAAATACAAATAACCCTACCAGGCGCCAGAATTATTACTAAGGGCTTCATAGTTTGTGGTACCATATTTATGTACAGATATACCCGCGTAATTTGAGTGACTTTCATTTGGGAAACATCCGGATCAGAGCTCGGAGAAACCAGATGAAATGGCAGAGGGTCCAGTTTATTCAAATTCATGATACCGCATATAGCTCGAACGGGACATAGTCTGGGGTTTCTAGACCGGAGCCGTTATTTCCTTGAAATAGCTCCTCAGTTATCCTCATGAGGCTGAGAGGACCCCGTTCCAGACCAACTACTTCTCAGAAAATTTGGTAGCGTCGGGAATCGAACCCGGACCTCTGGATCTGTAGCCAGGAACTGTGATCACTAGACCATAGAGGCGTTCATGGAACAGAATAAATATCTAGGCAGAAATATAGACAATACGTATCTAAGAGAACTAGGACACACGAGTGTTAGCACACAATGTTAAGACCTCACTGAAGCTTAAACAGACCTGTAGCCTAGTCTTGAAAGAAAGAAGAAGAAA